TAAATAAACTGAAAGAAAAAAACCATATGATCATCTCACTAGATGCTGAAAAAGCATTTGACAAAATTCAACACCCATTTATGATAAAGGTGTTGGAGAGACTGGGGATACAAGGATCATACCTAAATATAATAAAAGCAATATACAGCAAGCCGACAGCTAACATCAAACTGAATGGAGAGAAACTCAAAGCCTTTCCACTAAAATCAGGAACGCGACAAGGCTGTCCACTCTCTCCATACCTCTTCAATATAGTGCTTGAAGTTCTAGCAATAGCAATAAGACAACATAAGGAGATCAAGGGGATTCGTATTGGAAAGGATGAAGTTAAACTTTCGTTATTTGCTGACGATATGATAGTTTACATAAGTGACCCCAAAAACTCTACCAAAGAACTCCTACAGCTGATAAACACCTTTAGTAACATGGCAGGATACAAGATCAACTCCAAAAAATCAGTGGCCCTCCTATACACAAAGGATAAAGAAGCAGAGAGGGAAATCAGAGAAACATCACCTTTCATGATAGCCACAAATAGCATAAAATATCTTGGGGTTACTCTAACCAAGGAAGTGAAAGACCTATTTGACAAAAACTTTAAGTCTTTGAAGAAAGAAATTGAGGAGGATACCAGAAAATGGAAAGACCTCCCCTGCTCTTGGATTGGGAGAATCAACATAGTAAAAATGGCAATTCTACCAAAAGCAATCTATAGATTCAATGCAATCCCCATCAAAATCCCATCAAACTTCTTCACAGACCTTGAGAGAACAATAATCAAGTTTATATGGCAAAACAAAAAACCCAGGATAGCCAAAACAATCTTATACAATAAAAGAACTTCTGGAGGCATTACCATCCCTGACTTCAAACTCTATTATAGAGCTACAGTATTGAAAACAGCTTGGTATTGGCATAAGAACAGAGAAGTCGACCTATGGAATCGAATAGAAGACCCAGATATTAACCCACAAACTTATGAACACCTAATTTTCGACAAGGGAGCTAAAGGTATACAATGGAAGAAGGAAAGCATCTTTAACAAATGGTGCTGGCATAACTGGATGTCAACCTGTAAAAAAATGAAAGTAGATCCATATCTATCACTATGCACAAAAATCAAGTCCAAATGGATTAAAGACATCAACATTAATCCGTCCACTTTGAACCTGATAGAAGAGAAAGTGGGAAGTAGTCTACAAGATATAGGCACAGGAGGCCTCTTCCTAAGTAGGACCCCAGTAGCACAGACAATAAGAGAAACAATGAAAAAATGGGATCTACTGAAACTGAGAAGCTTCTGTAAAGCAAAGGACACTGTCAGTAGGACAAAAAGGCTGCCTTCTGACTGGGAGAAGATCTTCACCAACCCCTCATCAGACAAAGGTCTGATCTCCAAAATATACAAAGAACTCAAGAAATTAGACACTAAAACTCTAATTAACCCAATTAAAAAATGGGGTACTGAACTTAACAGAGAATTCACAACAGATAAACTTCGAATGGCCAGAAGACACTTAAGGTCATGCTCAACCTCCTTAGCGATCAGGGAAATGCAAATCAAAACCACTTTGAGATACCATCTTACACCTGTCAGAATAGCTAAAGTCAAAAACACCAATGATAGCCTATGCTGGAGAGGATGTGGGGTGAGGGGACCTCTCATCCATTGTTGGTGGGAATGCAAACTCGTGCAGCCAGTGTGGAAATCAGTGTGGCGGTTTCTCAGGAAACTGGGAGTCAACCTCCCTCAGGACCCAGCAATTCCACTCTTGGGAATATACCCTAGAGATTCCCTAGCATACTACAAAAGCATTTGTTCAACTATGTTCATAGCAGCACTATTTGTAATAGCCAGAACCTGGAAACAGCCTAGGTGCCCCTCAATAGAAGAATGGTTAAAAAAGGTGTGGAACATATACACATTAGAGTTTTACTCAGCGGCAAAAAACAATGACATCTTGAATTTTGCATGCAAATGGATGGAAATGAAAACGCTTTACTGAGTGAGGTAAGCCAGACCCAAAAAGAGGAACACGGTATGTATTCACTCATAAGTGGATTCTAACCATAATTAAAGGTCTTTGAGCCTATTATTCGTGATCCTAGAGAAGCTAAATAAGAAGATGAACCTGATGAAGATTATTTAGCTATCCACCAGGAGGTAGGAAATAGACAAGAGTCCCAGGTAACCTCGGGTGCATGGGGGGGGTGGGAGGGTTGATGGAAGGGGAGAGGGTTAGAGAGAAGGGAGTAGGGAAGGAATGGGGAAAGCTCGGTGGCCTGGGATGGGGGGGGGAGGAAGGATGAATATGGGATCAGGGAAGAATATATTTCAACTAAGGGAGTCATTTTAGGGTTTACAGGAGACTTGATTATATATGGGATCCCAGGTCCAAGGAGAGATCCCCCAGATTGTTCTCTGGACAGAGGAGAGGGTGCCTGAACCGGCCGTGGCCCATAACCATACTGATGTATATTTTGCTTATCACCATAGATCCTTCATCTGGCGAAGGACGGCGATACAGACGGAGACCCACATTGGAGCACCGGACTGAGCCCCCCAAGGTCCAAATGAGGAGCAGAAGGAGGAAGAACATGAAAAAGGAAATCAGGACTGCGAGGGATGCTATCACCCACTGATACAAGGGAACGGATCTAATGAGAGTTTACCAAGGCCAGTTGGACTGGGACTGAACGAGGACGTGATCTAACCAGATTCTCGGAATTTGGCCGGATTCTCTGAATGTGGCTGGCCCGAAGTCTTTCTGAAAAGCCATTGACTATGATACTGGGACTTGTTTCCTCTGCATATACTGGATTTTGGGGATCCAGTCTGTTTGGATACTCACCTTCCTGGACCTGGAGGGAGGGGGGAGGAATTTGAACTTCCCACAGGGCAGGAAACCCTGACTGCCCTAAGGGACGAAGAGGGAGGAGGAGAGGGAGTGGGGGGAGTGGGAGGGTGTTGGGAAGAGGGGCGGAAATGGAAACTTTTAAAATAATAAAATTTTAAAAAAAAAGAATTGAAAAAAAAAAAGAAAGAAATGAAAGCTGCCATGTTACGTGCTATCCAGCAGGTGGCGCTGGTGCCAAGTCACGACTAGAATCAATGCAAAGGTGACAGAAACAGTCCTGTTTCAGTATCGGCCTTGGTATTTGTTAAAGACTGGGAAATACAAATTGCTGAACAAAATAAATGCAATTAAATCAATTCCATACACGGAACCAGAAACCCAGAATCCAGGAGCAGAGAACAACAACCCAGAAGCCTCATATGCTGCCATGTGACAGAGTCACCCAGAGGGGTTGCAGTGTTTGGCAAATGTTTGTGCTCTGATTCACGCTGTGTAGGTGCTGCGTTGTGACAGGGATTTAAAAAATGCTCAGGAAAGAACAAATCAGGCGGGCAGAGACTGTCCGGGACTATGGATCCCAGGAGGCATGGAGTTTAAATCTATGTGGGTGCCAGGTCTAAGATGTAAGTCACAAAACAATCCCATACCAGTTTGCAATTATGATTAATAAAAGGGTTATTTATTTAAGGGGAAAAACTTACAGATCACTGTCCTAGACAACAGCCCTCTGTGCAACCAGGAAAAGTAGCTGGAAGCTGAACCAGAAGCAAGAGAGAGAGAGAGAGAGAGAGAGAGAGAGAGAGAGAGAGAGAGAGAGAGAGAGAGAGAGCAGGGCTACCACTGCTTTTTAAAGCAAAAGAAACAATGCCCAAGTAGGCTGGTATCTTAAAGGCTGAAGGAGTGGAAGGCGCTCCCGCAGCAAAGGTAGGGAGGCTCTGGGAGAAATTTGGAGGAGGGGAAACTCTAATCAGAATATATTGTATGAAAAAAAATTTATTATCAATAAAAAAACTCACTGTGACTGGTGTTGGAATGAGCCCTCTTTCCACCTTATTCCTTGATAGTATATATCTGAGACTAGATCAAATGGTTAGACTGGCTCATTCGTTCTGGAGCTCCTGGGATTTGTGTGTCTCCATACCTCCCTGTTGCTGGGGTTCCAGGTACATTGTCTACTGTAGTAGTAGCCATTTGATGGATCTTCAGGCAGAAGCCTCTTATCCATGCACTTAGGAGGGGAGAAGGGCAGGAGGAAAGAAGTACAAGCCCTAACTCCATGAAACAGTCTCAGCAACACAATCAAACAGAAATGCCAGTCCTTATGAACAGGCTGCCAGGGTTACTCCTTGACAAGCACTAGAGCCAAGTTTCTCTGGTGCTCCTCACAGCCACTGAAGAACTGTGTGTTTCATTAAGGTCACTGGCAGAGGGTTAATATGAATAAACGAGCTTTGTATTTTGTCCTGGGGGACACATGCTGAAGCAAGTGGACCCAAGAAGCAGGTACTGCTCCACTGGGTAGGGGAGCTCAAGCACTAACTATTCAACCAGGATGGATGGAGGCAATGGTGTGAAGATAAAGAGGAGACTGATTTCTACAGAAAAAGATTGTCCTTTAATCAGAACAATGGATGTCAGAAGTCTCTCCACAGGCATGGAGATGGTGAACCCAGGCACAAGGACCTGAAAAGGGAACCCTTGGAGTGGATGATTCCATCTCATATTACTATTGTTCTTTTTAAAAATAATATGATATGATGGCCCGGGCGGCCTGCAAGCCAGGCAGAAGCTGCCGCCGGAGCAGTACAGGGTCCCCGGGCAAGCGGCAGAGTCAGGCGGCTGGATAGGGTGGACGGCAGAGTAAATGGACATAAGGCTATACATAAAGCTAGACATTTATTACTTAAAGAAAGGAAAACATAGACAAACATAGAGAAAACAAAGACATACATACATACACACATGCACACACACACACACACACACACACACGCGCGCGCGCGCACCAGAGAGAGAGGATGGCTGCGGGGGAGGTCCAAAAGTGGCTGGGGTGGGCGTGGTTAGTTCTTAAAGTGGCAGCAGAAGACTAACAATTACCATGCTTGAGAATGGAAAGGGAAAAAGAGTGGAGTAGGTGTGTCTGCTTTATTTTATTGTTTTGTTTTTCAAGTCATCCTGGAGACCTCAGGCAGCTGCTTTTTGAGGGAGATGAGAAGACAGGTAGCTAGAAAAAAATTGCTATTACTAGTCCTATGCATTAACTGCCAGAAAGAATGGAAGAACCCTGATTGGACAGGTGAGGTTCAGGTGTATCAGATACAACCAGATTTTAGTCAGAAGATGTCCTTCATCTAGGAGAGTTGGTACCAATGATAAAGTTCCAGGAACTGTTGCAGGTGTTTGGTGTTGTGAGTTGGTCTTGGCCCAGGCAGCAGGAATGACCTGTAAAAAATGTTTAAAATTGGCTAGGGTTAGCAAAAGGCTCTGGAGACTGTTAGTTTTTTACCAAACCTGATTTTGATACAGTAGTAGAACTGTAAGAGAACTGGAACGAATTTACAGCATAGCAAAAGGCTATTGCTTTAGGTTAAAAGGTATGAACATTTTAGAAGACAATTAAAGAAAACTGGGAACTCTGAACCTCTGAAAATACATCTGAAACCTGTTAATCCTGGACTTTGAAGCCTGTTAAAGAACAGTGCCTTAAATTGTCAAATGCCATTAGACAGATATGGGAGGAATAAATGAGCAAAAATGAGACAGCTTTTTTAGCTACACAGGCAATCCCAAATCCTCTCTCCTTAGTTCTTGGAGAGCACCAGTCTTAGAAACAGTGCTTGCTATTAGCTGCTGAGTACAAGAGATCCAAAGATTTCTCCCATGGGAGGGGGGAGATTAGTCTACCTGTCTTTGCAGCATGAAGAGATCAATTCCCCAAAAGGTATCCAGGAAGCTGAGGAGGTGGAAGGCTGCTTTCTGCTGAGTGGGTTGCTTTGTCAAACCCAGAGGTAAGGCTTGGAGACAGAAGGTCTTTGGAGGAGCTAAAGGGTGCTACAAAAATTGACATGTCTCTATGTTAGAAGCTCTTGTTGTTAAAATGCCATAATCTCAGATCTGTAAAGGCCCTTGAGACCTAGGTACCATTACCTATTATTTAAACTGGACATGTAAGCTAAATTGAGGCATGTATTTTATCCAATTAGTTACAGGTTTTCATTAGTTTTATCAATGCTAGTAGATGCAAGAAGATTAAAGAACTAGTGCACGTGGTTACCCTTACCAAAGATGGCAGACTAGCACATGTGGTTACCCTTACCAAAGATGGCAGTGAGGTTAAAATGGCAGTTACTCACATGTTTGTATTTTTCCAGAGCTGCTGTAATCTGGAAGCACACATGCACACAGAAATATAAATATACACACACAGTGATATTGTGGCCACATCATTCTAACAGACAAATAAAGCACTTTTAGAGCAAACGTTGTAAGAGGAGGTAGGGGCAAAAGCCAGAAAAGTACAGCAAACAGCTTAGAGAAGTGGGGGGGGGGGACACAGGGAGGGGGCCAAGACGACGACAGGGAGGAGAGCAGGGCAAAAGC